GTGTGTATTCATGGGAGAAATATCATTGCGTGGCTCAATCCACGTCTTCCAGGTATGATACAGATTAATCGTGAGCCTTTCCGTCTATCCGGTCCGCCTCTATCGTACACGGAGCGGCATTATCCGCAGAGCCTGCAAGCCCGAGACTCTATCAATGCAGCATCCTTGGGTCATGTCTTTTTTGTTCGATTCGTTCTTGGTGAGGGGCGGGGTTTAAAAGATCTTGCCGCAGAGGTCAATGGCGAAGGGGGCTGAGACACAATTAGCGATTTGCTGTGGGAATATGGAGAGTAAGAGAAGTCGTACAGAGGTACAGGAGGACAGCGGTGGCGACGGCCTGCTGGATGGTAAAGGTAGCCTCGGCCTCGAGGGCGCGAATCTCCTCCTGGGACTGCTGAGGGGGGGCGACTGCGAGGGGTCAGTTTGGGTTGATCAATTCGTAAATGGTGCAGGTTTCATACATCCTCCGAACATGTTGACCGTGTATATAAAGGCGTGAGGGAATTCGGCGTTGGGCAGTGCGGGTTGTTGGAGCTATGATGCTATCTCCAAGTGCCAAAGAAATTTGACAAGCGCCCTGGGCGGCAGAGCCGCGCAGGCCAATCAGAGTTTGCGATCTCGGCCAGGTCGGGGTGCTTATCGATAAGACAATCGCCGAGTCCGGACCACGGAAGACGGGACCGGAATCATACATTGCTCGATACCTATGATCACTGAATCTCTAGCAAATATGGTTTACAGCCGCCAGAAGATGACGCCGTGATAGTCTTAACAAAGCTTCTTCTGAGATGGATAAAAGGCACCATATCTGCCCTCGTACTGGTTTAAATGTCAACATCAAGAGGCAGCCAACATGAACAGCCGAACCCATCTCCAACAGGCTGTTCCAAACAACCAAGATTGGGTATAAGCTTCAGTTATCAGTTATGTCATGGCTGTGTTATTTCCGTTGGGTTGCTCAGAAGCTCTTGACCAAGATCACTGAGCCTCTTTTAGAGGTTTTGTGTGTTTACGGCATCTCATATTATCACCTCTTTAAGCAAAGTCGCAATCTCTATAGGTAGTTACCGTCTCGCAAGAAAGGCATCGTCATACTTCGCTCTAGTCGATCTTCCTAAATTACCAAGACAAGTTAAATACATGGCCCGGAATGTTAGCCTGCGCGTTTTTTTCTTCGGTTTAAAAAATAATCTAACAAGAGGAGACAGGGGGGATACCTGTCACGATCCATGGCGGTCTAGGGTCACCTTTCACTGCATTTTTAACCCGTGCCGAGGCCAGAGAAAATCCAAGATGGGAATGAAGGTAATTAGAGAGCGAAGCATCTTCCCCGTGTATGGGCAGGCTCGCAGTAGCGCACCTGTGTTGTGGCTGGCCCAGCCATTTCACTTCAAGTTTGACACTCGCCGCGTCTGGATCACGGATGAGTTTAGGACGGGATCCGATATAACGCTTGGTGTTTCCCTTTAGAAATATGAGCCTCTTTCAGAAACCCCGTATTCATGGCTCATAATTCAATTATTTTTTCCAAGCAAAGCTGTAATCTTGGTATCCTGGCAACAGAAACATTGGCCTATCCCGTGTTGGTGACTCTACGTGGTACTTGAGCATATGGCTCAGATTTTTAACTACGTTACAAGACAAGGCCAGAGGAAGCGAAGTTGTAAGAGGAGCATCTAGTACCTTGGTGGTTCACGATCGGATTTTCTTGATTGACCTCCAATGGAAGCTATTCACGAGCGGGCAGTGTGTCTAAGCTGCGTATTGGGAGTGTTGAGAATGGCACTGTGATGCCGAATACCCTTCACTGCAACCGTAACCCGATTCAAGGCCAGAGAAAATCCAAGATGAGAACAAAAGAAGAGGGCGAGGCACATTGCAAAGGAGTATGGGCAGTACAATTCGTTGGTCCATCTGCGCATTGGCGAGTCTGCACTAAGACGCCGCAGCACACCCAACTGTGACGCCAAGACTGCGGCTTTTCACTGCAATTTTAACACACACCGAGGCCAGAGAAAATACAAGACGAGAATGAAAGAAGAGAGCGAAACGCATTGCAAGGGGGCATGCGTTGAGTACAACTTGTTGGTCCATCTGTGGCAAGGATAACTGTTAGCTCGGAGGTACTGACCTGTGTACTTCTTTCACTGCAATATTAACCCGCTGCGAGGCCAAAGAGCAAGAAGCAGGGCGTAGAATCCAAGAGGAGAACAAAGAGAGGGGCGGAGTGTCTTGCAAGGGGGAGCATACGCAGGACGGGAGCATCCTGGATTTGTGCAAGGATAAATTTCTTCACTGCAATATTTACCCACTGCGAGGCCAAAGAACCAGAAGTTAGGCGTCGAATCCAAGAGTGTACGGCCATAAGGTGGATCCTTCACTGCAGTTTTAACCTACGCGGAGGCAAGAAAAACTGGACAACGAATCCGACGAAGCTCACAGCGTCTGTGAATTAGTAGTAGTAGTTTATTGTGATAAACAGAGTAGCTGTTGTAGATTGAAAAGAAAGGTACAGTTGCGATAGATAGTTATGAATATAAAAGGTGGCAGATCGGTACTTTCAACCTGAAACTTTCGAGTTCAAGCAGTCCTGTCACTGACCTAGTCCAAAAGCCATCTCTGTTGCGGTTCTGCAAGCTCGTCGAAAGTTTGCTATAATTCACCAAATGGTACTCCGCTCGAAGGGAAGACACAGCACATGGTCAAGTTGGTGGTTCATACCCAGGGTATCATCCCCTTGAATCTATTCATTCATGATCATAATGTCGCAGACCCAAGACTTCCTCATCTGCTCATTTTCTCCTTCTATATAACTTTGACTTGCTTTTACCATTTTCCAACCCATTATGCTTCGAAAACCAAGGAGACACCGTCATCACCGGCCGTTACGATCCTGGCACCAGTCTCACCCTGGACGAAGCCCAGGACACCACCGCCCTCGCCATCACCTCGGTGGCCCTTCCACTCCTTCTGGAGACCAGCCTCTGTAGCGGTGGCAGCAACGTTGGGGTTCGTCGCGCCAGCGCCACGGAGATCCCACCGGCGCACCACGCCGTCCATACCGCAGCTGGTGAGCTGCCATGAGTTGGGGATGAACTCGAGCTTGACGACTGAGTGCTCCTCGTGAGCACCCGCAATGTGGCGACGAACGGCGAAACGGCGAGTTGCGTCGTACACGACAATAGAGCCGTCGACGGAGCCGGCAGCGAGGAGTGTGCTGGGGGGAGTGTTGGGAGTGGTGACGACAGCGAGTGACTCGATACTCTCGGACTGAGTGTGAAGAGCGGCGAGGATCTGTCCACCAGCGGTAGATGAAGATGCGCCGGCCGCCTTTCCTCCACGGCCCTTAGCTTGAGGCTTCGCTCCGGCGGGAGCAAGTCGAGGAAGAGAGACAATCTTGATAGCACCAGTCGCACCACCAACAGCCGCGAATGTGCCCTTAGGATCAATGGCAAGCGAGTAAAGACCACCCTCAACCTCGAAACGCTGATCCTCAGCAGTCAGAGACACGGCAGTCATGCCATTGTCGCCGACAAGGTTCTTGGCCGCAGCTTCACCCCAGACATCCCAGACATAAAAGCTACCATCCTCGGAGATGGTAGCCAACAGTTGACCATCAGGGGTCCAGGCGCCGGCTGTGCAAGAGCCAGTGTGAAGGAAGTAGGACTGAACGATCTGAAGAGGGTTCGCCTTGTCGGAGGCGTCAATGGTGTAGACCCAAACGGAGCCATCTGAAGCGCCGAGGGCGATGGTGTTGGGGTTTGTAGACGAGGGGCATGGCACAAGCCAGTTCACCTCGGGCACCTCTTGCGCCTCACCCAGGAAGTCCATCTTCAGCGAAGCGTCGGCTCCAACGGTGGCCTTCCATGCGCGTATCCTACCATCGAGACCACCACTGACGAGAACATCACCCTTGGGGAGCGTCCAGGCGATCGTATTCACTGAATCGGAGTGGCCGTCGATGCTGAATAGGGAGTCGAGCTGAGTAGTCTTGTTGGCGGCAGCGCTGGGGTCGCTGGAGTAGCTGGCAGGCAGAGGAGGTCGCGCCTGAGCAGCAGAGTTATCAAACACCCATCCGGCACCGGGAGCATCGTCTTCTTGACCAGCTGAACCGCCGACGGCAATGATGGAGGGGTAGACGGGGTGCTGGGCGATGGCGAAGAGAGAGTCTTGGGGAAGGTCGAAGTAACCGATGGAGTCGTTCTGTAGGAGAAGCTCCTCGTTATCCGAATCCATAGCGAGGTCATCGTCTTCGGGAATCTCCTCGGCGGCATCGTCAGCGGCGAGCATCTCCAAGTCGTCGACAGGCTCGTTCTGATCGCGGGGATCGCGGGGGTTGGAGGACGACATGATGGCGGGGTAGTTTGAAGGATCGAGATTTGTTGCAGCAGTCGTATCCCTCTGAGGGAGAAGTGATCTTTAATAGATCGATAGACAAGATATAGAGCCACGCTAGATACGAGCGCGCTCTAGAAGGGTTTGTCAGTCGAAGCTTGCTTGATAAGCAGGCGAAATGTTTTTTTTGCTGCGTCGTGGTTGACGGGGCAAGGATTTTTTTTCTCGACTGCGGGGTGGTGGCGGTCATGGTAGCTTCTAAGAAGCGCCAAGCGAATTGCGGAGATCTTTAATTGAACCAGACGAATTTCGAGCTTGATTTCTCGGCGTGGTTTCTTGAAAGAAATTGATCACTGCTCGTCATGGATGTTATTTGAAATGAAAGGGAAATTAGAAGATCATTAAATTGAAATTGCTCAACTAAAAGAAGCTCCAAGGACGCTATTTTAAACCGGCATTCAAAGGTTTTAAATGCCAATACCTCAAGAATCTAGCACCTCTCCTTCTCAAACGCCTCGCATTGTGAATCGTAAAAGGTATGTACATACACTAGTTAGGTAGAATGAAGCGAAGGTTGTGTTGCTGGTATCATCGCTCAATAGTAAAAAACCTCCACTCCATGTCTGCCCCCCACTATCAACTCTCCCTCCCCCACTTCACCTTGGTCATGATCGTGGCGACGTTCCATCAGCCCTGTTAACATGGCTCAGCGTGGGAGAGCTACCGTCATTGTTCCAGCCCGTATGCATGGGACCATCACCGGGCAGTTCAGACACGTATGAAGAACCTGTTGGCAGTTCCTGTGGTACGTTCTGGGTTCCGTATAGCTCGCTCACGCCGTGGCTGGGTGGTAGTTCCTTGGTCGCGTCGGGGTCGTCGGTTGGGATGGCGGTTTGGCGGTTCTTGCGACGACGCCACCAGAAGAAGCCGCCGATGAGTGCGCCGATGACAACGATGGGAATTACAACAGCGATGGCGACGATACCGCCTGTACCAATTCCACCGTCGTTTCCACCGCCGCCGGATGATGTCTCAGCTGGGAGTTCAGTCGTGCTGCTCGTTCCGCTCGTTTCTTCAGCCGTCGTGGCATCCGAGGTTGTCGTCGCAGATGTCGAGGCGATATCGCTGGCCTCATAGACCATCTTCAGTCCGTACGCATTGATTCCGTCTCCGCCGCTCATCGTAACGGCTGAAGTGGACTCAGTTCCACTAACAAGAGTCGTAACGAGCAGAACAGTCCTCGAATCGCCCGCGCTCCACGTGCAGTACAGACTCTCCCAAGGTCCCTCGAGAGATTGCGGGTCTGAGACGCACCACATCTTGATGCCGTTGCGCTCCGGGCAACACGTCACGGTAGTTCTATCATCGCCGCTGTTGGATCGTGTACAGCTCCTTTGCGCCGTGTACCCCGAGGGACACACTGTGCCAGGAGAGTAGTAGGCTGTCGGGGCTGGGTCGAAGTCGTCGGGGAGACATGATGTTGCAAAGTCGATGCCCACGACTGTTCGGCTCGAGATGGCGTTGCAAGTGGTACCAGGTGAGTAGTCGGTGGGAAGGGGTCCCACAATGGATATAGATGTGGATGTCATGGTGTTTGAGCGTCAAAGAGGTCGCCTTCTCAACGTCCTACTGTGATGGCGATCAACACCAAAGAAAACAATGGTTGGATATCGTGTCGTACACTGCAAGGAAACCCTCGGCGCTTAAAGAAAAAGGCAGAATGACAAAGCAACCTGCCACCGACAACAACACCTTCATCTCTCACGCAGGGGTCCTTCAATCGTAATATGCCCCTAGGGTTCCAGCAGGGCCTGGGTCCAATTTCTCCCATCCACATCGTGTCGGAGCGTCTGGGCCAGTTGTGGGATCGTCTTCCCTGCTCAGCCCTGGGAGATGGGGGCCATCGTTGCCTCAAGGGGCCTAGACTCGAGCCGCAGCCCGTTGGACACGGAGAAGGATCGTCTAGCTTCGCCTCTCTTGAATGGACCATGATATCGGTCGACAGTCCTCTTTGGAACTTGGCTTCATTTGCTGGGTCATAAATAGCTGCTCATACAACCTAGCTGCAAAGAGAACTGCGGCGGCTGTTGTTGCAGACTCGAGTCTCCAAAGAAAGCCACCATCCCCAACTCAAGAGTTTCAAAAGCTTGGCTTCGAGTCAAGAACCCATGTGAAACCGCCACATGCACCGGGCCCAAGAGGAGCTTGCAACGGCCGCAGCGGCTGCAACGCCTCCCGAGCAGCGCCTCAGACGCCGTGGTATCCTATTCGACAATCTGGTGATAACTTCACTTCCATCTCCACAATGATTTGGCAGCATTCTTGACCGTTGCCCAGCCAAGGCATATCGACACACGATATCATCAACTACTTGCATTTGCATTCCCAGAAAACGCCGGACCCCAACTCACTGACAAGAATAGACTCTCGCTTCACAGTAGCGCTTACACCCGCTCCCTGCAAAAGCCCATCAGAAATCCATGACCAAGCAGACAATCTGGCGACTGTCGAGGCCTCTGATTCGCGATGCCGCGTAAAGACAACCGCGGAACGAGAAGATCCATTGGGCTGATACGGGTATCGAACATGGGGTTATCCTTGATGTTGGAGATTGGACGACTCCGAGGGGAAAGACCCGAGCAGGCTTGGATCCTTGCATGCGACCCTGGCTTTGCTCGGACTCGTCAGAAGTGCGAGGTGCGCAAGGATCAATTTTGCATCTCCACCCATTCACTCGGATATCGTATGTGCAAGTCGCAGGCTAGTGTTTGTGCTGTCGGCTTGTCATTGACAGACGGACTCAATTGGCAGTTTAGGATGATCAATTGGCAGAGGGTGGCTTTTCCGTAGGCCACCCAGGTTGAATATATAACCTGACTTCATTCCCCTATAGTGCAAGTGTGTTGTTCACAATGGAGTCAACGTCGACATGTGATACCAGATACCTCGAATTGACCCCAATCAAACTGGAAGACTGCCATACCAGCATTGCTCGATAACACCTATAAGTTCGCCGATCTGCTCAAGATATAAGATATTGATAGCTACCTACGAAGCACCTGGCCCTTCCAGCTTAGTGAAGCATAGCCTAAACAACAACCTCCTGAATGGTATCTTGCATGTGCACCGTCAACGCCCGAATCCCCTGATTCTTCGTCTCGGCCTATCCATCTAGCACCTGGACCCAGTTCTTCTCGGACCGCTTCCTCCTCCATCGCTCCTTTGCAGCCTGACGAACAACCTTTTCCTCCTCTCCAACCTCACCGGCCTGGCTTGCCAACTCACGAATCTGGTACTTGATCCCCAATGACAGCATCTTATACCACCCGCTGTGAATCTTGCATCGCTTCCTCTCGCACATGCCCCTCACATCGTCGTCCTCGCCTAGGGGATCGCCTAGCTTGGATGCTTTGAAGATGGCCTCGCCTTCGGGTGACTTGGCAAAGGCTGCGAAAGAGTCCCTGGCGCTGATGGTGTCGAGACGCTGGTCATAGCCGCAGATGTCTTCCTTGAAGTGACCTGCACTGATGGCTGCCTGGCGTCGACTGTGTGCGAGATCCAAGAGGGTGAGCATCTTGTGGCAGAGGACTGTCTCCTCAGCAAGGTGAAACCGTGTTGCAGCAGCGTTCTCTAGAAACTCCTTTTCCTCTTCGGACAGATGCTTCGACGCATCCTCTTCATTATCTGAGAGATGGTCAATGAGCTGTACCGTCAATAACAAGTCACAAATAACTAACCTTGCTCCTTCTTATCTGCTTCTTTTGGCTTTTCATCCGAGAACGGGGTCTTGATTAATCGCCAGAGACCTTCCTCATCCACACCGGAAAGACCACTGCTCAGCAATGCCATAAACTCCTCCTGGACAAGCTGATCATTGATGCCCCCTTTGCCTTTTGTCTTGGGCAACTTGGCCACCATCCTCTCCCACCAGGTCTGGGCATGCTCATTCGAACAAAAAACACTCTGCTCCTCCTGTGCTACACGAGCTGCTCGCCGACAGCCACTCAGGGCGCAAGTCTTTTTGTATAATGTCATGAGATCGTCGGTGGTGCAATTTGGGCAGATGAACTTCTCGATGAGAGCCTCGCCAATATCCTTACTCATGTTGATACATTCTCCGTGAAACCAATCCTCGCAGTGTTCGCAGAAAATCATCCAACGGTGGTCATCCGGGCCGCGGCAGAGACAGTATGGGCCATTGTCTGACTCCTCGGATGCTGCCTCGGAAGGGGCCTGGCCAGAGCCTGATGAAGGCGTGGATTTGGACTTTTTGGCAGCTCTTGGACCACCACTGTTTTTTGTTCGCTTGGTACTCTTCTTTACCGCAGACGCGGTGCCCTTCTTCTTTGCTGCTGTATGAGAAGGCATGTTGGATGGTTCTGTGGTTGTGGATGGAGGATGAGAGGGAGATTTGGAAGAAGAAAGGTGGGCATCTGAGGGTGGATGAGGAGTAGAATCGGCCACAGTATCGCTTCTGGCATCTTGCTCAGCAAGCTCAAACCGAGCCTGTTCAACCCCTCCCATTGTGAATGTTGTTTGTTCCATTGCTGACTTGTTGGTGTAGGTGAATTCCGCAATCGCGTTTTTGCCCCTTAAAATAACCTGGTCACTTGACACAAACGCCGTTTTTAGATTATACCCATGAGAAACACGCCGACAATAAGTTTTCCCAATAAAAAAAAGCCCGATCCGTTGGATATTCGCGAAAAATGATGAATCGGTGTAAATGCTGGCTCAATGAGGAAACCATTCATTGAATGAACACTCAGGGAAATTCAATGACTAAGCATCTCATGCAGTAAATCCGCCTGCACCCCACCTTGGTCTTGGTAGCGTGCCGGCAAAAGCCCGGGCCTCGTAATTTTGGAGAGCTTGTGATAATCGGAAGATGTAAGTTAGCAGTGACACAGCTTTTGCATGAGCTTCACCGAAATCTCGCCATAGAGCCAATTCGTCATGTCCAACCCGGTCGCGGCTTCCAGAGCCCTCAGGGGCGTCTTCTCTACCGTCTCAACACGGCAGTGCCAACGCTGCTTCGCTAGCAGCGCCCTCCAGCCGAAACAGCTCCGGCCGACCCTCCGAGCACCCGTTCCGTCGAGACAGCCGATTACCCAGCGCCGGACCAAGTATAAGACGATCGAGCAGGCCAAGAGCCGATATAGCAATGGGGTATGAGTTGGCGGGATCTGCGAGAATGCGATGAGCAAAGAAGGAATAAGTGGCTGACAAATGCGCATAGCCCTTCTCATGGAAGGCCGGTATCCTGTTCGTCGGCACCTGCGGCTTGTTGGTGTGGTATTTCGAATACGAAAAGGAGCGCATGCAGCGCAAGAGAATAGCAGAGGCTGCCAAGGGCGTGGGTCGGCCCAAGGTTGGAGGAACGTTTGAGCTGGTGGACCAGAACGGGAAGCCCTTTACGAGCGAGATGATGAAGGGCAAACACTCTCTGGTACGTTTAACACACTTGAGAGGCTGTTGAAAGGCCAATTCAGTTGTTGGGATGGTTGCTAACTTGTACAGGTCTACTTTGGATTCACTCGATGCCCCGATATCTGCCCCGAAGAGCTCGACAAGATGGCCACCATGTTCGATATCGTCCAAGAGAAGGCCCCCGATGCTCTTCTTCCCATCTTTATCACCTGCGACCCCGCCCGTGACGACCCCCCTGCGCTTAAGGAATACCTCAGCGAGTTCCACGAGAAGTTCATCGGTCTTACGGGCACATACGACCAGATCAAGGCTCTCTGCAAGAAGTACCGTGTCTACTTTAGCACGCCGCAGAATGTCAAGCCGGGACAGGACTATCTGGTTGATCACAGCATCTACTTTTACCTCATGGATCCTGAAGGCGACTTTGTTGAGGCCCTGGGCCGACAGCACTCGCCTCAGCAGGCTGCTGCTGTCATTTTGGACCACATGAAGGACTGGAAGAATTAAGACGTACGGATTAATCTGTTCATGTAAAAACAAAAAAGCGGTGCAGGAATCTTGGGCATGAGAGATGATGGATGGGTTCTGTAAAAGTACTGTACCACCAGAACGATGATAGAAGGATGCCACGACGGTAAAAACCACTCAATCAATTGTATACTTGTTCATCTATCATCTAGCAGCGGCACAATCTTGAGAGTTTCCACATATCAATTGCCTTGGAATTGTTGTTTGTGAGTTGTTGGGTCCATCTGATCAGCACGTTCATCAACGCGTATCGGATATTGGCGGGGTTTTCCGACGATTGCTGTTATCGCTTATGACTCTAACAAATACGGTACTTGAGCAAGCTCCATGCCAACCGAAACATTTGAGTGACAACTCTTCTTTTCCACCACATCCGAATATTTCACTCAGAAATAGACCACTCACTCGATTCTTCAACCGGAATTGGTCTCTTCTTTCACTGTGTAGCCAGCAAGTATGCAACGTTTCGGCGCGGTCGGCCAGTGCCGATTGGCTGCGCGTCGGTGTGCCACGCCGATGACGGCCGCTGTCTCTAGGTTCCCTCGCGGTATCCAGGGAGGCTCACGAGCGTTCCGCACTTCCTCTTTCTTCTGTTCAAAGCCAGACGGGTCATTAGTGAACCCGAATGACTTTCAGGAACCTAGCGAGGCGTCACGAAAGCTGTTCTCTGAGATTGCTTTTGCTTTCGAGTAAGTACGAGAAGGCACATCACACTGCTTCCTTAACCCGGAACTTGAGATATGCACGCCATCTGCGTTGAACTATAGACTACTAACTCCTGACTAGCATCGATGGCGTCCTATATCAAGGCCGCAATAGGGTGGAGGGAGCTGAGAAGGTGATCAAGATGATCCGCAGCAACGGCATTCGATATGTCTTTCTGACGAATGGAGGCGGCGTGCCTGAAGTCAAGAAGGCCGATACTTTGCAAGAGCGCCTGCAGATTGCCAAGAACGACGACGTGATACGTGGGAGGATGATCCTGTCACACACACCCATGAGCGCCTGGAGTGACGAGCTCAAGAACCATGGCACTATCCTGATCACAGGCTCCCATCCCGAGCAGGCTCGTCAGATTGCTCTTGAGTAAGCTTCTATCCCTAAAATTGAATGACGTCTTTGTGTAGCTAACCATTTCAGTTATGGCTTTAAGCGAGTCGTCACTCCTGCTGACATCCTCGCTGAGTGTAAGGATGTGTTCCCTTTTGATCACCTAGAAGGCGATGTAAACGGAAAACCTGTGCCATTGCCCGATGGAAAGCGAATCCCTCTTCTCAAGGATCCTTACACAACAAATATCCCACACAATGCTCTCAAGATTGACCAGATTTTCGTCTGGAACGACCCAAGGGATTGGTCCGTCGATATCCAGATCATCCATGATCTCTTGATCTCACATGAGGGTTATCTCGGTACCATTTCGCACAGGAACGGTGATAAATCATTGCCAAACAATGGCTGGCAGCAGGACAACCAACCCGGACTCTGGATCTCCAACATGGATCTTCTATGGAAGACGAATTACCCCGTGAACCGGTTCGGCACTGGGGCGTTTATGGAGGCTCTCAAGGGAGTGTGGTCGATGACGACAGACGGAAAGGAACTTGAGTACAACGCCCTGGGAAAGCCATCTAACTATACATACAAGTACGCCCACGACAGGCTACTACAGTACTACCATGACATGGCCTGCAACAGGGGCAAGAGTCCCTCGCACGACATTACAAAGTGCCACCCTCTACGACGCGTTTACATGATTGGCGATAACCCCGAGAGCGACATCCGAGGCGCCAACGATTTCAACGCCGAGGACGGGACCGAGTGGGTGCCTATTCTGGTTCGAACCGGTGTCTGGCGACAGACTTTGACAGAGAAGGAGCCTCGTCACAAGCCGGCGGTCATTGTCGACGATGTGGTTGATGCTGTTGTCTGGGCACTCAACAACGAGGGTATGAAGGCGACGAGGGAGTGGCTCCTGTCGGCGGTTTCGCATACCAAGGGTTATGTCAAGGTGCCGGAGCTGGAGCAGGAGGGCAACTTGAAGGAGACAGGAGTTAAGTATCCTAGTGAAGAGGAAGCCGGCGAGGCGAAGCTTTAGGACTTACTGAGCATGGATTATAATTACAGCTGAGTATTCACATAGAGAATTACACGGTCAGACCGAAGTTATCTAGCAGATATTCTGTTCATCTTACTTTACCATCCATAACCCCAGGCTGAAACCAAGCTCAATCGAGAACGAGGAGTCGAAGGACATGACCAAACTTCATTGAAGGAGTTGCCGAGGGGCCTGCATGTTTCGGAATGAACGGTACGGTCCGCAGCCCCCAAAACGATCAAGATGCTGTTGGCGCTAACGTGTCGGGGATGCCGTCTTGATGCATGTCGCGGACCAACAACAACACCATTGCAACGCTGGCTTCGCACACGAGACCACTCCTTGAGAGAAGGTGTTGTCAGAACAGGAAGGAGATGTAGGAGATCCTGAACTCTAAGCATGAGTTCCGGTTCTGGTTGGCAATTGCAGAATCAGATCACAAAAGGACTATCCGTTGGGCCTGAGGCTGGACTAACTCGACGCCAGATAAACCCTGTCTCAGGTTTCTTGGCCTGCAGCTGCATGAGATGGGATGCAGGTAATCGATTTTCTCTACATTCTGCCTGGTATGAGTGCAGCCTATACCCCAGCCTTAGAATTAGAAGGCTCCCATCCGCCTACTTTCTCTTGTTACTCCTTGTTCCCTGAGATCTAGCCTTGTCCCTCAGTCATCACCGGAGGCCTTTGCCAAACCCTTCATCATCCGGTATATATAATTCTTTGAAATATCTTGCACACACTCAAGATGCCGAAAAAGAAGAGTTCAGTCACGAAACTCACCTCACTCTACGATGCGCTCGAAATCCCGCAGGAGGGCGAGCTCCCCTGTCTCGGGCACATTGCATTCAACATCGCATGCACGTTTAATCAGAGAATTGGAACGGACGGAATCGAACCAATTCTACTCGAACTAATTAGTGCTACCAAGGATGGAGCTGCGACGGATTCGGCCGAGGCTCAGGGGTTGCTCAGGCGTCTGGCCATCTGGCTTACATGTCCGAGCAGCCAGCACGATCATCATGTTCGACACAACGACCATGTCTACGACAAGTACCAATACGTTGCCTTTGTGCTTGGCGAGAGACTGATGAGTTGGGATGGAGGTGCGGATAGCGAAACACCAGAGAGGACAAGGAGTACCAGACTGGCCGTGCCTGACTTTAGCCTCACTCGACGCCATAAGCATATTGAATCGAGCGACGATGAGGGTGAGGAATTGGAAGACGAATATGAAGACTACGATGGAGGCGGAGAGGATAGCGAGGAAAATGAAGAAGTGTCTAAAGTGTCTACCGACGAATCTACCATGTCTCGCCGCCAACGACCGAAGCCCGAACGAGAGGGGCCTATGATAAACCAGCCGGCCGCTGTCACCCCGATAAAACAGCGTGGTAGACCAACCAGCAACTCACGGGCCAGCACACCGACAATGGGACACCTAGTCAACGGGCTTGATTCTCTATCGGTCATCGACGATGCCTCGATCATGTCTCCTGAGTCGACCATCTCGCCAGGTCCCAGCGAAATCTTCAGCCCTATCTCGACTGCCTCGACACCGATGTCTATTCCTGACTCGGAGGTTCGTCCGCGCCGTTCTCGCTATTTAAGAGGCGAAGATGAAAGTCCAACAAGAAGGCAACGACATTCAACAGGCGATGACTACCTCGGCGATGCCATGAGGAGAATGAGAGGTTCTCTAAAGAAAGGTGGGCAACTCGAGAAGAGCCTTCTACTGCGCAACCAAACCTCAGAGAGCGAAAGGTCAACGGATGACGAGGAGGTTGAGGAGCAACCCACAAGCAAGAGCAAAAAGGCGTCACCTCGTCTCCTGAAAGTTGGAAATATGAGGTTTGCTCCAGCAAGTGAGGATAAGAAGAATGCGGTGCAACTCGTTCTGAAACGCTTGAGACAGGCCCCGATGGGACAAAGTCTCTCACCAGGCTGGGTATATTGCTTCGCCGAGAAGACTGCTCCTGGATATCTCAAAATTGGGTCCAAAATATCCAAGGGCAGCAACGACGACACGACGCTTTCGCTTGAGGACCAGAAAAACGACGCCGAGGTTCGAAAGAGGCTCCAGGTATGGGAGAGGGATTGCAGGCACGACATAGACTACAAGTTCATAGTTTATATGCCATGCGCAGTCAGGACGATGGAGAGATTAGTTCACCTCACGTTGTGCAGAAGAAACAGGAAGGCGTATTGCCCAAACCCAAACTGCAAGACGAAGACGGGACACAGGGAGTGGTTCGAGATTTCGGAGGACGATGCCCGCGAGGCCGTCGAGGTGTGGGAGCAGTTCAGCAATCTCATGCCATACAACGATAAAGGGCAGCTGGAAAAATTCTGGTTCGACTACGCAACGGATAAGTACAAGTCTTTTGTCGGCTGGCCGCCCGAGGAGTGGTTGTATGAGTGCTGGGCCACCCTGACAGGCCCGGCTGCGGTTAACCACAGGAAGCAAATCAGCAAGCTGGAAAGGAAAGAAACTGAACTCACGGAGAGACGGAGGCAAACAGAGGAGAGAAAGAAGGAGCTTGAGCATGAAATACAGAGTCTTAAACAAGAAGAAAAAGAGATTCGGCGGCAGTTGGCTCAGTTGCAAGGGCAGCAGTGAGAGGGACGGACCAGCCAGGGTGCTGTTCAAGCAACAGAATGTCGTATCTTGCAGAGATTTTGCCTTGCGGGCGCAATGGCCATATCTTTTACATGGAATGACTATTATCTCGCCTTCAGTGTACGAGGATCAGTCGAGCATTGACGAGGCCAATTAGTTGTTGAGCTGCGGCTCGGCCATCAACGGCACTACTTGCTTTTGTGCTGGGTTAGTAACACATCCCCGAGGTTACATAAAATGTATCAACCTGATGCCGTGTCAGGGATGACATGACGATACACGTCAAACCAAAGGATGAGGTTCAACGTCGGCAATGAAGCCGGCCCCGAGTGAGGCTATAAAGGTCCACCGAGGCTGGGATGGAGCGTGTTCTGGAGCGTGGGGGAACATGGCGAGAGTCAGCCTGCAGCCTCTTGAAGGAGTATCATGACACGGCCGAGTGGGTTAGCTGTGGTGAACCGTCGCCGTTGCCGTGACCGAGCCTATATCATCTATCTGGTCGCTTCATGGATGTTATGCCGAGAGTAGCCCCCACGGCTTCGGTGCCCGAGTGGGTCTTTTGTGCCGGGACCCGGTAGGCAGGATTCCGGATGGGCAGGCCACCCTCCGGCACGGACCGAGAACGAGAGGGTCAAATAGTTTCGAATAGTGAATGCGACTTCACATTATCACCAACTTATGGGGGGAATCCTTGTATGAATGGTGGTGGTGGTCGGCGGTGAAGAATTTCTCCACGAAAGACTCCACCAAGAGCATGTGAGACACTGCCAAAAACTGCCACCGAGGATGGCCCAAAGGGGGATAGCGCCACTAGCCACCGGAAATTACGTCACCCGGCAAAACGGGGTCTAGACGCTTTCGACGCCTCCCGACAGCCGCATTCCCCTCCTTCCCCCGTGCCCCCCTTGTTCAGCGGAGAACTGCTCTTGCTTCCCCTCCTTTCGGTGACGATTTTGGGGAAGAGATTCCAAGGGATTGGGTAAAAGATGCAGCCAATGAGTGACGGGACGTATTACCATTTTGCCTCTTTTGTGTGACGTGGTATCGCCTCTCGCCAGATAATCACAGGCCGTGAACCACGAACCCTTGAACTTGTAGTCGCCGCGGATGCTTCCGGTCCAGGGCGTACGCTACGGTGACGTTTGTTAGCCCAGTTCGAGACGAGACGGATGGGCACCGAATGGGAAACCGGGACTTTGTCGTACCTGCCTTCTGGTTCTCAGTGGCTCTGGAGCGGGAGAGATCATGTGGCCTCCTTCCCTTGTGACATTGGCGTAGTTTTTTTTTTCCCTCCTCCCTGCCTTGCTGGCCATTACTTTTACTCTCTTATCTCCCACTTCAATTCGAACATCCTCTCTTCCTTCACCTCCAGATTCGCCTCCTTGATACGAATCGCATTATCAATGCCCTTGTCCTTCTATCGAAAGACGTCTATTAAACGAAGCGAATCACAGGCTGCACAAAACGAACAAGCCTTTTCGACCCTACCCAGACCCCTGACTCGCTGATAAGCGCACTCCTCCACCTCCCTGATCTAGCAGTCCAGCCCAGTCCACACACGCGCGAGCTGCTGATTGACCCTTGGACCGCTTTTCTTCTTTTGGGAGCGAGAGGGGGACACAACCGACACATCTCTCGCATATTGCGTCCTGCAGCCTACATACGCCTCAATTATTTGCCAATTTCTTCCTCACCGCGACTCCCGTCCCCTCTTCTTGGATATTTTCCGATCAACTTCGCAAATCTTTTTTTCTCCAGACGACAACCAATTGGACCCCAACAGCTGAAAACCGATAGAACCCCTCCTCCCCCGCCATGTCTGCGGCACCGAGCCCCACGATCAATGGCCTCTCTGCGCCCTTGCGCTCGGCACTCAAGAGCGAGGAAGATGAACGCCCCTACCCGTCTAGTGGCTCTCTCAAAGGTACGTTGAAGAAGGATTCTGTAGATAGTCATCGCCTCGAATCACCTTCGAGGTGGTTTCCGATACTGGGGCTGGCGCAACTCAATTCCCCCTGAGCATGTGATGGAGCTTGACCCGCGAACGATCCAGGATGTGACGCGCGTGGGCATGCGATGGCATTTTCGGGTCTGCTTGGCATATCGTTATGATTGTCAAGCAAGGCCATGAGCAAGACGGACTGACGACCCGGTAAGTTGGCTCTGTGCCTTGCTCATGCGTTCGAGTGATTGTCCTCTGACCCGTTTGCTATGCGGCTTGCGCGTGCTCTCATCTTGTATCTTGAGTTTGCTTGAACACCACACATGACATTTCTGCACCATCAATGTAAATGAAACCCAGAGCTCACACACCACAGCTGTGCAGATTGCGGAACCCGAGTCCGAAATCCAGATGCTGGAGGATGAGTCCCAGCCTATGAAGCAGTTCTCTGCTGGCTTCAGACGACGCCTGAGCGGTAAGCTCGTGCCATCTCAACTCCCCAACGGTTCTTCAAGGTCGTCATACAGCGAAAGTCCTTCCCCGGCTCACCACGCCGAGGACTCGGGGCCAACGTCTCATCCCACTTCCCACCCTCACAGTCACCGCCGCCAGTACTACAGTGAAAAGCTTCTAGCCCAGGTTGGAGACTGGCTGGAGCATGAGCGGACCAAGGCAGCCGGGAGAAAGTCCAACAAGAAGACCACCCGTCGACGCAAGTCCAAGTCGCCTCCCAAAGCAAAGGGCGCCGAGACGGCCTCAGCTTCGGGCAAGGAGCCTGAGCGCTCTCGAGGGTCTGATCAGGAGCAAAGTGGCCGCTCGCGCTCTAATTCTATTGACTCTGACTCGAGCGATGTTTCCTTCGACAGACTTCAGCGCATCTTGGAGGACTCGATGGCTCATATGGGCTTCACGGCAGTTCCTCATTTCCCTCCCAAGTTGACACGCCCAAAGAACCGCAAGGTTCCCTCTCGGGCCTCACTGCGAGGTGCCTCCTCCGATACCGATTATGTCGATGGAGACGCCATCGTTCCCAGCTGCGATGCTTGGCTGGACAACTCCAAGACCATGAGCTACGCAGGCGGTGGTAGCACTGAGGACTTGACGGCCACCAACGGCTCCGACGATAAGGTCGACAAGGAGCGTGAGAACTGGCTCAACTTCAAGAACGAAATCATTCGTATCGCGCATACCCTCAGGCTCAAGGGGTGGAGACGCATCCCTCTTGGAGGCGGAGATAAGATCTCGGTGGAGCGTCTCAGCGGTGCTCTCACCAACGCCGTCTACGTTGTCCACCCTCCTCGTAACCTTGAGGAGGTTGAGAACAAGCGTATGCCTTCCAAGCTTCTGCTTCGTATCTATGGTCCACAGGTTGAGCACCTCATCGACCGGGACAACGAGCTCCAGGTGTTGCAGAGGCTGGCACGCAAGAGAATCGGACCACGACTCCTCGGTACATTCCAGAATGGTCGGTTCGAACAGTTCTTCGATTCCATCACCCTGACCCCGTCGGACCTTCGCGACCCCGAAATGTCCAAGCAAATTGCCAAGCGAATGAGGGAGCTTCACGAGGGCATCGAGCTACTGCCTCATGAGAGAGAGAACGGGCCCGCAACCTGGAGGAGCTGGGATCAGTGGCTCGATAATGTCGAGCGGATCGCCACCTTCCTGGACCAGGAGCTCGAGAAAGAGGCCAAGCCACCGACGGAGCGACGCAACCCCATTGTCCATGCCTGGAAGAGCAGGGGCTACGTCTGCGGCACTCCCTGGCCTCAGTTCAAGGACATGATTGCCAAGTACCGTGCCCATCTTTACAGCCACTACAAGGGCGGCCAACGGGAAGTGAAGGACAAGATTGTCTTTGCCCACAGTGACGTGAGTACATGCACTGATATCCATCGATAAGAAAATTGGCTAATACCTCTCACAGACGCAATATGGCAACATTCTTCGAATTCGCCCCGACGATGAAAAGTCACCGCTTCTTCAGCCTGCCAACCAGCACAAGCAGCTCATCGTCATCGACTTTGAGTATGCAGGCCCCAACACGCGTGGCCTCGAGTTCGCCAACCACTTCAACGAATGGACGTATAATTACCATGATGCCGTAGTGCCATGGGCGTGCAACGAGAGGCGGTATCCCACCCCCGATGAGCAGCGTCGTTTCGTCAGGGCTTACGTCGATCATCGCCCCCGATTCCAAGGGAACGGGTCCACTCCAAGGCTGGCTCCTTCGGACGGGAACTTGTCCAGTGGCACTTCCACGCCTATTGCCACCCCCCTGTCGACTCCTAGCAACCCTCCTGCCAGCAGCTCCAGCTCTATCGTGGAATTCATGCTTGATGCACGAGTGCCCCCTGGAGGATGGAGCGCTGCAGAGCGAGCCAACGAGGAGGAGCGAGACCAGCGCGTGCGAGCTCTGTTGGAGGAGACGCAGTGGTGGCGTCCGGCCAATCATGCACACTGGATCGCGTGGGGTATCGTCCAGGCCAAGATCCCAGCCCTTGACGACGTTGTCAAGGAGGAGGACCTCGGACCTGACGAGTTTGACTACCTCAGGTATGCTCAGGATCGTGTCATGTTCTTCTGGGGAGACTGCGTGCAGATGGGTCTCGTCAAGAAGGAGGAGCTGCCAGAGCTCCTGCAGAAGAGACTGAAGATTGTCGAGTACTGAGAGCTGGCTTCTGTGAGTGAGCAGCGAGGAGGTTTGGATCGGAGGAACCAGAGCGGACAGCCGAGGTGAGTTGGCTTTGATCTTAATGACGAGTGCAATGACACGGCGGGCTACCCATCGCCTGGCATCCTAGAGATTGAACAACTTTTGGATGTTTCCTTTCAACACTTTCTTAGTATCAGCGACGGCATAGAATCTTCAGTTGAAGAGATGCACAAGCAAGCTTTTGTCTTTTCAACAATGCAATAAAGGTATCTTGTAGATACTCAAAACAGAAAATAAATATATGTTGAAAACAAACTTGAACTCGTGGGGAATTGTGATGTCGTAATTCGTATCATGTTTTTCATGGCTATATGTCGTCTAGATGCTTATGCCCCCCAGTTGAACATGTCGTAAATCTTTATATACATGATGATTGGCTTAAGCATCGAGCTTCAGACGATCCAGCATGGCATCAATCTTACCCAGTAGGATCTGGTAGTTGATGGCATCTGAGGCAAACTCATCCTCTGCAACCTCACCATCCAGTGTTCGCACGGCTCCCTCTTTGGCCTCGCCATTTGCCTCCTTTGCCTCCCCGTTTGTCTCGCCATTCTGCCTAACTGTACCATTCGTCTCTCCTGTAGAAATGACGGCCTGATCCGCCATGGCAGCCGCCAACTCGGCGTCGAGCTCACCCGTCTCGTCCATCATCTCGTCAAGACCAGCATCCTCGAAGCGTAGTCTGAATCGATCTGACAGGTAGTACCGAATATCATCGAGCAATTCGATTGTGTCTGTCTCCTCACGTGCCGTCAAACGCTGAGCGGACTCGGCGATAAGCGCTTGGAAGTCCTCCTCGTCGATATAGTCTTCGAGGCGGTAGGCAAGATAACGGGCTGCGAATTCTTCGAGACGCTGCACGCGGAGGTCCCAGGCAGCGTGGATGACGTCGTAGATATTGATGGGCTCCATCTCAACGGTCTCGTGGACGTCTGCCTCGCCGTCGCCGTCCTCATGGGTCTGGCCGTGGGTGCGGTCGACCAAGACGTTCGAGCTACCACTGCCTAATGTGCTAATAGCCACTGCAGCCTTGCTCTTGAGATTGTCGAGGAACAGCATGTCAGCTGCATACAGAAGATCGAGGGCATGTTCAAGAGGGCAGGCGACAGTTTCTGTGTAAAGGAAAGTGAGGATGATCTCGAGAACAGCTGGTGAGCAGTCGACAGTAACGACGCGGAGATGGTCAGCGCGGTGAGACTCGACAAAGTCGCCCGAGAACATCTTTTCAAAGTACTCGCTTCGGATGAGCATGGCCTTGTGAGCGGGATAGAGGACCGACTTGGGGGATTTGGCAGAGTCGTTACCGTTGCCGGCTGGGCCAATGGGTATAGTTGGTTTGTCCTCAGTTTGCTCGGGCTTTTCCTCTTCAGCTTCGACTGGCTCGTCTGCGCGGAGGAGGACGTCTGCAAACATGGCGTTATCATGGTGCCACTTGACATCCTTGACTCGATCCGAGTCTACCACCATCTTGTGTCCCACGACATTCTGTTGAAAGAAGTCTTCCAGTTGTCCCCTTGCTCGCTCTACCTCATCTTGATACCGCTGACGAGCAAGTCTCCTGTCGGCTCCGGCGAGAATGGCCTCCCATAGTGACTCAACCTCGAGCTGCTTGCTAATTTTGGACAGTCCGTTGAGTATGTCCTCTTCAGAGGTGTCGGTTCCTGTAGGTGCAAGATCTCGCGGTACCTCGCCCAAGTAAAGATACCTTAGGACGATCTGAAAGGCCTCGACGGGGACAGCATTGGCAAGATTCCAAGTAGTGGTGTTTGGGGCAGCGGCCAACTTGGCTTTGAAGTAAGGAGACCTTGAGGCAAGTAGAAACTTGTGCAGCTCAAAGGAACGTGAGCCGGCGACGAGAGTAATATCTGCGGTGCTGGGTGATGGGCGACCCAGGAGAGTCGATATGTGGGAAGACCAGTAGACGTAAGGGTCTGAGGACTTTGAAAAGTCGTACTGTAAGAGGAGGTTGCGGATGCGGTCATTGAGGGCGTTGTAGATGCATCGCTCGCCCTGGAAGGTGTTGCGCTCGGCCAGTGCGCCTTGTAGTTGATGTGAGTTTCATGATGAGAGACAACGAAAGACTATACGGCACGAAACAAGACAATTCAACGTTAAACAAGATGAATTAAACTTACCAGACTCTAATAGTAGTTGAACAAGTTCATAATGTCCACACAAACTCGCCTATCCCCGTCAGCCCCTCATTACTCAAAACTGCATGACAAAAAAACAACCCACGATGATGAGGGGCGTATAGTCAAACTTGTCCTTGCCATTGATGTTGACGCCGCGGCTGATGAGTTCCTGACAAGTCCTCAGATCGCCGTGTCGACAGGCCATGAGGAACTCGTGAAACTCGGGGCTGTCGTCGAGGGGGTTCTCGTCACGAAGGACGCCGCTCTTGATGAGGAGTGCTTCCTCGCCGAGTTTACCTTCGAGCTCATCTTTGCGGAGGACCATGGTGAAGAAATTCAAGTATATAATATATGCCTCAAAAGGCTAATGAATGAAGTCAAGTCGTCTATAAGAAGTCAATTCTTATCTCCGAAGACCGTAGGCCTTGCTTATCAAATCAAATCATGGATGGTAGGACCCCTCCAAAAAGTCGCCATCACCATAAACGGCCACCAAATTCCCCTCAGCCAATCAGCGTCGACCGGTTCCTCGACGTCACCGCCACGGTCCCCTTATCGATAACGAGGCTCTTTCCGGGTCAACCCCGGGTGGGCCTCTGTTGCCATAACAACGGCGCCAGGTGTTTACTCTGTGGGACGGACCGGGGTGAGTGAGTGGGAAGTTCAAGTTAGTCCAGGCCCATTTTCACGACCACGCTCTCTTTGTTTAAGCTTCTCGTCTTTGCTTTCCCCAACTCTTTCTCCTCCTCATCCTTTTCTCAAACAAACCTTCTCTCTCACATTGTGAATAACCTCTACTAACCGACAGCAAGGTGTTTTTGTTTTTTACCCCCAGTCTTCTTTACTTGTCGTCCCCCACCACCTACCGACTCGATCACGAACCTACTCGTTCAACGGCGTGAAAGCTACCGTCGAAGCAGGATTGCACTGCATGGGTTGGACCGGTTATTTATCGTGAATTGACTTTGATCATGTCTTCCGAGGACAAGTACGAGACGTTGGAGAAGATTGGTAAGTTCACGCTCAACCTCTCTGACATGCACCGCCTATTCACGGTCAACTCACCGACTGACACATCCACACCCAGGCCATGGATCCTTCGGTGTCATCCGCAAAGTTCGGCGGAAGGCCGATGGCTTCATCATGTGCCGAAAGGAAATCTCATACCTCCGAATGTCACAAAAGGAGCGCGAGCAGCTCCACGCCGAGTTCCAGATCCTGTCGACCCTCCGCCATCCCAACATCGTCGCCTACTACAACCGTGAACACCTCAAGGTCAGCCAAGACCTGCACCTGTACATGGAGTACTGCGGCAACGGCGACCTCGGTCGTGTCATCAAGGACCTCACAATGAAGGGCCAACGGGCACAAGAAAGCTTTGTCTGGAGCATCTTCAGCCAGCTGGTCATGGCCTTGTATCGGTGCCACTATGGCATCGACCCGCCCGAGGTTGGCGCCAATGTTTTGGGTTTGACACAGGGAGCTGCGGCAGGTCCCAAGGTTCCTGCTGGAACTATGACTATTCTACATCGTGACTTGAAGCCCGAGAATGGTGAGACTTTCTGGTACTTTGTTTACTTGGGGTGTGAACTAATAACCTTCAGTCTTCCTCGGTGAGGACAACTCGGTCAAGCTTGGAGACTTTGGTCTCTCCAAGATGATCAAGTCCCACGACTTTGCTTCTACCTACGTCGGCACACCATTCTACATGTCGCCCGAGATCTGTGCCGCCGAAAAGTACACACTCAAGTCTGACATTTGGTCCCTGGGCTGCATCATCTACGAGCTCTGCGCACGAGAGCCTCCATTCAACGCCAAGACGCATTTCCAACTTGTGCAAAAGATCAAGGAGGGCAAGTTCCCCGCCCTGCCTGATGTGTACTCTCCCGAGCTTGGCCAGGTCATCAAGGACTGCCTCAGGGTCAACCCTGACCGGAGACCCGACACGGCATCGCTGCTTAGCCTGCCTGTTGTCAGGCTCATGCGCAAGGAGAAGGAGGTTGTGGACCTCAACAAGTCGCTTAAGCTGAGGGAAGACGCTCTCCGTAAGAAGGAGAGGGAAGTGATGGAGAGGCTCGCTGGCCTTGAGATGGAGAAGGAGCTCATCCGAGAAGAGCTAGACTCGTCGCTGCGGAGAGAGTGGGAGGTCAAGGCCCGCCTCAAGATTGATCACCTGGTGAACGCCGAGGTTGAACAACTACATATCCGCTTCGAAGAAGAGGTACAGGCTCGGGTGGAGGAGGAAGTCCAAGCCCGTGTCGAGGCCGAACTACAGAAGAAGACAGTCGCCTTTGTCGGCTCAAGACCCCAGAGTCGCGAGGACGAGCACCCGACATCACCAGCCAAGTCCGATTTCAAGCCGGATTACCCTCACTCGTCGGTCAACACCAGCGGAGACGAGTTCCCCTCGACAACGGACCTCACTGAGTACTCCATCGATAGCCCCGAGAGCTTCCGGGAGACGAAGAAGACGACACGCACCCCCTTCGCCCGTGCGCAGACCATGTTTGTGGGCAACGCTGCTAATACGCCCATGGACATTGAGATGGGCTCACCCAGCCCCATCGCCGCCATCGAGTCGCTGTCCCTATCACCTCGTCGCAATGGAGGTACCAAAGCCCCGACATACAACGCGAGTAACATCTTTACGGCCAACATCTTTGCCAACAACGCCAACCGAAGCTCGGGCGAGAGCCGGTGGGATAACCCTCGTGGCGAGCCGTCGTTGTCTGATTCTGAGGATGATGATATTATGCCCTCGCCGACTCGCAACATCAAGTCGTCCAAGAACCCCTTCACATCAAAGACGCGCCCTGTCTTGACATCACAGAAGTCGTGCCCCATCAACCGACTCAAGCCTGCAGCCTCGAACCCCGGCTTTGTCTCGAAGCAGATCATGCCCCAAGCCGAGTCTGGTCCTAGATCTCCCGGTCGGCGACTCAGCAAGATACCATCTGCGGCGTCGCTCGTGCCTGAGGCTAGCACTGCTCAGGGTCTGACTCGCACTCTGTCGCTTAACAGCAACAGGAAGAATGCGGACGAGGCGATGGGTAGAATGGTTGCCAAGAACAACATGGCCAACATCAAGGGCCGAACCCTCGTCGAGCTGCAACAGGCTCGTGCTGGCGGACGTCCCATGAGCGCTGTTGTTCTCCCCACCACTGGTGAGAACGTGAGCCCCAAGAGGGCATTCAGAGACCGCATCGGCCTTGAGCGGAAGTCGAGCGGCGACGAGCCCGTGGCTGTATGGGATCCAGAACGTGACGAGATGCCCAGTCCATTCCTCGTCCGAGCTCGACGCATCGCCCGGGTATAGGCCTCCTCGACGCTTGCGACGCAAGAGCAGAGTAATCAGGCCAAGGGCAGTTGACGCCCTCGACCCTCGTTTTGTTTTTACTCTTTTTCACTTTCCTTTGTCTATTCTATTCCCCCTACATTGAAAGAAGCAAGCATGCAAGCATCATGAGAAAGAGACAGTGGAGGAAGTATTGAAGGAGATGAGAGAGAGAGAGAGCGAGTTGTTGGAAACGAAACCATGGCAAGCGGCGTTTTATGGCGTAACAAGGAAAGGGGAGGGCAACACTCAGCAGCGTGAAACCATTATCTTTTCATGTTGGTTTTGTTTGTTGGTGTTTTTTTTTTTTGTTTTTTTTTTGGTCTGGATTATTGGTCGGTTGGCATAACTTGATGACGGTCGATCGGTTCTTTTTTGGTCTGGTCTATGATGAGGCGTGGGAAAGGTAGGGAGGGGGGATTTGAATTGTGGTATTCAATGGATGAATGGATGGGATGGATTGATTGATTGATTGATGGATGGATATTGGCTTCCCTTGTTGTGTTTTAGACGTTGATAAAAAGACCATGATTATTTAACTTGGGTGTCTTGACTCCAGTATTGTCTATTCGTGGGGGATTGAGTTGACTCTATCACTTTGTACATGTCTCACTCACAGATATAGACATCTGGCTGTGTTCATTTACAGTAACACTAACACCTCAGACTCTTCAAGTCATCTATAGAGTATTCTCTCTTAACCAATAACTGCTCGATTATCCTCCGAGCCAATAATTGCAAGTCCTCGGTGAGTCTCCAATAAGAAGCATCCACAACCCAACAACAAACACCCTTGTCTAGTTCAACTACTGCAACTTTTCAAGGTCATGGGCAATCCTTTCCACCAATTGGTCGCGATAGGCATATCCCCTTGACGACGGAAGCACAACCCGCCGAATCTCACTTGCTTTAGCTACTGCATCATCATATCATCAACGAACCGTGTCCAACATTCAATCAGCCAGCCTTATTTCCTTGAACCACGTCAGCTAGTGTAGTGAGTTGGGCATCACTGCGTCCAAGTTAGAAGCAACACACCAATATCTCTCCCTTGCAACGCCATGCATATGCATCCCTTCCCCCACCCTCCCTCATCTGCACCCCAGAACCAGTCGTCCGGGCGAGGCGACAGTTGGGAGGCGTGACGATTTGCAGGGACGACATGATGAGTTGTCTAGAACTTTACCAAACGGAACAACTACCTCTGAACAAGGGCATCAACGTCAGAGCAAGGGAATCCATGTTCTTCAACATCACACATCACATCAGAGACGCAAGTCGACAAACTTGAATTGGAGTATTTGCAATGCTCAAACGAGGAAACCAAGGGGGTATTTTTTCTCTCTCCATCCGCAAGCTAAAACACCACACACATTTGACAAAAACAATTAAAAAATAGAGCAAAAAATAATAAACACATCCCATCCACCAACAGAGCATCATGTCAACGCCAAGTAGCACCGTGTCAGCCGTAAGTGTCCAAGAAATAAAGCAGAGCAACTATAAAAGCACCATTAAAAAGGCGGCCGCGAGGCCAGTTCCATCTTGCGTTGCGTAGCGTAGCGTGTTGTAGCCGTGAGGCCCATCAATCTTCCGATATTCCCACGTTCCGGGCGCCCTCCCTGATAAAGTGTCGTGTCGTTAGAGGCTCTTGGTCTGGCCTAAGAGCCTGTCCATCTCACCATGGTTGTTGTAGTTGTTGTTGTTTGTGAGAATGGCGGTCCTGTGTAACCCGCGCAGGACCTTGTCTTTCTCCATCTCGTTTTGTCTTATTTTCATCTCTTTTTTTCTCCTTTTCTTCTTCTCTTTTGTTTCGTTAGTCAATGGTCTCTAACCATTGTGATACCATGAGGCTCCTGAGAACCACCAGGGCGATTAGGGAGGGTCATTAGCCTGATTAATGTCGTGAACGGTGGGAGGTGCTGTGACGATGGGAACTGTGACCGTGGCTATGGCGATGGGACGAATGGTGCGATGACGAGTGTCTGTGATGCCGGCTCGAGGTACTGCTACTGTCGAGATCACGCTCCAAGCTTTCAACCCTGGACCTGTAACCCTTGACAATCTCCTTGATATGGGCGATGCGGTCAAAGTCCACCTCGAGCTCATCCAGCTGTTGGAGGATCTCGGTGTAGCGAGCGATCTCAGCGTCGGCTCCCCCAATGATACCATCGGCTTCGTCGTACTGCAGCTGCGTAAAGCGCTGTGCTTCGTAGCTCAGGTGCTGTATCCGCTGCTCGATGCTGGCCATGAGATGATCAAAGTAGCGACCCAGAGCTGATAGCGATGAGCTATCTAGCATCAAGAGGCCCTGGCTGCTGGCGCGGCTGGCGGCGCGCGAGCTGCTGGATCCCCCTCCCAGCGCCGCTTGGCCCTGGCGTAGCAGTTGGATTTCCTCGGCATCGAGGCCTAACTGGGTGTCCGGGACGGCCTGTGCCGACATGGCGGGCAGCCGCTGGAGGGGCTGCTAGCTACGGCGCGGCGGGGCCGAGGGGACCGTAGAGGCGACGGATGCGATTGAGGTCGGGGGGGTCACAGGAAGGTTCAGGTGCAATGGATTGTCGCCGAACGGCGGTTGGATATGTGCCGAGCTGGCGGGCGAGGAGAGATTCTGTGTGTGTATAGGACGGCTGCAGCGACTCGGGACATGGACTGTAGCGGTTCGGAAGCGGCCAAGAGGCCGAGAGGGGAGTCGGGACTCGGCGATGTTGTGGTATAGGTAGAGGCGCAGGAAATGGTGATGCCAATGGTTGCGACGAGAGCGCGCACAGAAGCGACGGTGATGGAGACGACCAGGACGACAACGAGGACAACAGCAGCTGCGATGGCGCTAGAATCGGCGTGTGCTGTGCTGCGCAGAGCATCATGATATCGCGACCGAGACAATCATGAGCATCATCGACGGGGAGTGGGTGAGCGTATGCGCAGGTAGTATAGCGTAGCGTCTCTTGACTTTGTTTGGAATGGTGTCAGTGTGGTGTCGTTGGGTCGATGTCGGGTCGGTAGGTTATCTTGTCTGGAGGCTCCCAGACCTCGCGGCACCCGGACGAGGAAGAAGAAAGAGGAGACGAGGAGAAGAGGTGTGAGCCGGCTTCTCTTTTTGGGGAAAGGACGGGAGAGCCGTGATTGGAGAATGGGAGGAGCAACAAGACGGAGGGGAGGGGGGGGGAGGACGCAGTAGAAAAGGGCCGGTATACCGACCGAAAGGCGGCGGAGAGTGGGCGGCGTGGGTTTCGGTGAGAGAGGCAGGGATGATTTGATGGGGGTAAGGTAGACCCAGGTCAGTTGGTACCGGGGTCAAGCCTGACGTCGACCAGGGTGCGCTGCGCTGAGGATGAGTTGACCGAGTGGTGACGACGATTGGACTGATTTGCTGCTTGAGAGCCGACAGGACAGTCGAGTCGAGTCGAGTCGAGTGAGTTTGTGGGCAGCACAGCACAAGCAAGACAAGCAAGTGCAGAGAGAGAAGAGACGGCGCGTGGGAGGTGCAGCGACCAGCAGGGGTGTCGTTTCTTTTGATTGATAAAACCCCCGGCTGTTAGTTTCTCTGGGGCTGAAATCCGTCGATGTTGGTTGGTGGTGTTTTGGAGGGAAAAGACAGACTAGACCAGACAAAGATGGGATGGATGGATGGATGGGATGCGGAGGGAGGAGAAGAGGAAGGAGGAGGAGACGACGGGAGGTTGCACGAGTTGCTTGTGATGCTTGCACGTGCAACTCGAACTGCCTGTCTTGTTTCAATTGAAGAAAAGGTTCTTGAGCCGCGGGATAGATTAGAGTCAAGACAGGACACGGGCGTGTGACTCGATCTTGTCTTGTCTCGTCTTGATTTGTCTCGAATCGCTTCGTATCGTCGAGATGGAAATCAATGCGGCGGCGTCTAGGTACTAACAAAACAGTGACAATCAATGGATCACCGCCTAAAGACCTTGCAAGACCTGGGGGCCAGGTACCGACAGAGCGGAAACCGGCGCAGCAGCACCAAATCTCAGTAGCGCGCGCTAGCTGAGCTCTCCAAGGTCGATCTCGAGACCGATTTTTCCTTTCCTTGCTTTTCACGGCAGATGAAAAAGAAAGAAAAAGCAACGACGGTCGGTAGGGGGAACTGTTGGGGGCGGACAAGGTTTGGTTTGGCGCAAGAGCCTAGCAGGGCTGTTTGATGAACCACAGTAGCTGTAGCTGTGATAGTGGTGGTAGTGGTGGTGCTAGACAAGGTCGGTGAGAGCTTGTGTGAGAGTAGGCGCCCAGACCGTGGTGAGAGGAAATAGGTCTAGTCGCCAAGGGAGACAAGAGAAAGAGGAAAGAGGATCAGAGAGTGGGAAAAAAAGAAAGAAGAAGAGAAAAGTAGTCGACCAGAAAAGAAAAAAAGAAAAAAGAAAGGAGGTGGTGCAAGAGAATGGAACGATGTAATAGTCGATAATGCGAAAACATAATGACCGAGACTGGCTCGTCGACCAAAGTCAGGAGATGGATCATGATACACCTCAACCGTCATGACCCGGGATGGATGGATGGATACATGATCAAACACACCGACCAAACCTCTATTACTGTACTGCCTCTCCCCGTCAACCGATGCCGAGTCCACCACGAACGGGGAGCCGCAGATTACTGGCAACATACGACAAGGCAAGGAGCTTGCTTCTCTTCCCATGACCGAACCCGACGGACGGAATCCCGGATCATGGGCCGCTGCTCTGCCTTTCATTTCTCGTCTTCGTTTGTGGGACTTGATCTCTTGTAAGTGGGACTATTATATCTTGGTCTCGTCTTCGGTTCAACTTCCATCTCGATGCTAGGAACGGAGTAGTCAGGTACTGAAAAAAAGGTGAGGATGGAGACGCGGATCCATGTACATCCAATATTTTTCCTCTGACCGCTGCTCTCAGCCTCTGGCAGATTCCCATGCTGTCTTGTCCCCCTCGGCTGATCATGACGGAACCGTGCCACCTCGGGACATTTGAAAAGAAGTCCATGGATCCCTGGGATTTCGTTGTGTCTTTCACCTACCCACGCGCGCGCCTTGGGACGAGAGCCACGCTTGCATGGGAGCAGAGCCACGCTTGCATCCATGGCAAGGGCGGGGAACCACCTGAGGAGCCCCGAGACGAGATGCGACGGTAGGTACCGTCTGTCTGTGTCTGTCAGTATGTCACGCCAGTCCGGGCGGTGACGGGAGCAACACCCAATGTGTAAGAGTATTGCGTAGTATGGTCCAGCAACGGAGATTGTATTCAACATCCACATGGAAGAATACAAGCATCTGCCAGTCATCAATTCAATGGACCACACCACCAGCCCTACATCTACAAAGGAAGGTCCGGTACATACGTAGTGATTGCCAAACTCGGTAGGTGCTAATGTAATGCGCACGTGTCTCTCAATGCATGAGCTCCACTCATCCATTTCTCTCTCAAACATCCATCATCAAACATCCATTTCATATCCTCCATGAGCGAGGCATCCCATCCAAAATCCAACTCTTTATCTGTCATTTCCACCAAAGAAATGCATCCTTCCATTTCATCACCCGCAATTACAACTACAAGCGCCGGCAACTACTGGCCCACATTTGGCTGAAACCTCTTCCAAGACATTGTCCAGGCGCCCTGTCTCAAATCACTCTCATCACCCATCATCACCATGGCCGTCGCCATCACTCACCCATCTACCTAGTCTCTCCGTCGATCCGGAAATCGGCCTCCAGCTCCCCGAAATCAAGCCCCCTCCAGTAGTTCTAGAGCTGGCGATTGGCCCCTTGGCTGTGGCGCGCGCCAGACGAAACACATCCTGGCAGGGGGCACACACGACGAGCAAGGAATCCTTCGCCAAACTCCTTCAGCGCCAGCCACACCAGAGAGCGACTTTTACCTACCAGACAAAACAACCGCCGTTCATTCGACCTCCCGCGTTCGTCCCGTCGCTCAAGGCGTTCATGTCGATTTGCACTGCATCTGCATCATGCATCTCGCCGCCGACGTGCAGGATCCCATCCCCCCGTTCAGCCTCAACATGACGTTCTAGAGGCACAAGACCTGTGCACAATGATGCTCTTCAAACCCCGGATTAAGAGTCTGTCCAACCCCGGAACCCCGCCGCGACTCTGCGCCTCCCCCGCCCTCACCCTCGCAAACCGCTCTCGAGTGCGGATTAGAGTCCCCGATGTTGGTGCCCTCCATCCGATCACTCTACCTGTTCTCATCCCCATGTCGCATTGCGAGCGACCTGCACGAGGACATGTCTGTCAAGTGGTTGCTGCCGCTGCAAGTAATACCACCCCTGTCCCGCCGTATCTGTCCCTGCGTGCTGCCCCGGGATGTGGTGTTTTCACCCTCCAAACTGGTACCTGGCAATCAGCCAGTGATTTCCTGGGGGTAGACTCTAAGCTGCCGTACCACGACCGTCTTTTGAAGACGATTTGACGCCAGAGTAATACGACAGGATGGCGTGCTCTTTGCGCCCTTGTTCGTTGACCTAGCGCTGACACCCTCTGGTGGTGACGCCCTCGCCATACCACGGTTCTACCTTTAACCGCAGCTGGGGAGGGGTGTCGCACGGGATCATGATCTTTACCCGCATGTTCCTTGCATTCTTCTCCCTTCAGCCGTGGCTGAGCTAGACCCCGGATTCTCGGAGTCTGTCCAGGTTAAGACGTTGCGCGTAGCCCCTCGTAGCAATCGGCTGCCCCAGACTCTCATTCTGGGTGGCTAGTCCTTGAAGATATGTGTCGCTAGATGTTTGCTCATGACTTTCCACGCCATGACACCAACCTTCTGGGCTGCCTGCAGATTAGAAGCAAGGGCACAATAGAGCCAAGGTCCTTGGATTGTGTGACCAGTACTCAGCTCACGGTTGCCGCGCAATCACTCAAGCTTCGGATACTCCCAGCACGCCAAACCACCAACAGAAAATGATTCTGGTGAGATGTCCAATTCTCTTACTGGTCCAGAGTTGAGTAGCTGGGGAAAGGGGTTGACTGGGACATAGAGGTCGACTTGTTATTCCCGGACATATCTCGTGATACCTTCAGCCATGATCCCGGGGTAAGTCAAACTTAAGCAAGCCATAGTGCTTCCGCACTCTCCGTCAATACCGAGGTAAACCAAAAGTTGGTTAGGAAACATTCCGAGTTACGTCCCGCTCTCCTGACCTGTTCATGGCAACAGCATCTTGGCTACGAACCCCAGCTAGCACCCATGAAGCTCTCAAGGTAATGATGTCGATTCTTCTACCAGGCATAGGATACACCCGTAGCATACAGAATACTTCCAAGATACTCTATTCTATAGGCCGAGGTCGTTTCAGGGCCTCTCATCGGGGGTCTCATTAGACATCATGTCAGCCCGGGGCGGTTCCGAGGCCTGATGGAGTCACTGGGGTACGCACACCGTTCATGTTGACCCAGGCCACTATTGCCAGGACCCTTGGGATTCAAACCATCCTGTCAAGTTTTGCTCTTTATTTTATACTACATTCACGCGGCTGTCCTTGGTTTCGTCCGTCGACCCACACACCCTCCTTCAGGAAACGTCTCAGGGGGTTCGTCCTCGGCCAAGGGTTGCGGTTCAACAATCTAACCACGGCATTTTCTTTTGAGACTCTCTTTTTCGGTTCACATGAGCCCTCTATATGAGCTTCGTCCCTTTTGCCATTCCTCAGTCCATATAGTGGTGAGGCAAGTCAAGGCTGAGCTGGTTGACGCATACCAGACAAGCAGACAGACAAGAGAAGCCACATAACCGATAGACTTTTACATTCAGTGTAAAACATTGATCTACTGGTTTCTGGTTTTCTCATTCGCTTGCTGGATATGCATCCGCAATTCTCCTCCTCTCCCCTTTGTCGCCTCGTGCCGATGTCCGCCCCTTTGCGCAGCTGGAGCCCCTATTACTCCAATTCCCATTGACACTTGTAACTCGGCATTCATACATCCATCGCGCGTTCTTGTTCCCCGAGTCGTGTATAACTATGCTAGATCCGTGACTCTTTGCTACAGCCCGTGTCTTCCATCACAACTGACTAAACATCTACAG